AAAAATAAAATAACATAAAAATACAAAAAATTAACTGGGCGTGGTGGCAGGTTCCTGTAATCCCAGCTACTCAGAAGGCTGAGACAGGAGAATCACTTGAACCCAGGAGACAGAGGTTGTGGTGAGCCAAGATTGTACTGTTGCACTCCAGCCTGGATGACAGAATGAAACTCCATCTCAAAATAAATAAATAAATAAAGTGCCAAAAAGCGGGTGGTTGCCTAGCACCAGGGATGGCGGTTATGGAATAGTCTGGGGTGATGGAAATGATCTCTATCTTGATTGTGGGGTGGTTACGAGGGTGTATAAATTTGTCAAAACTGAGAAAAAGGTACACTTAAACTAGGTGCCTTGTACTGTATATAAATTGCACCTGAATATCACTGATTTTTTTTAACAGATAATGGGCCAAAATGGCAGGAAATTACTGCTTCTGAAAGCAGAGTGAGTTCAGGAATAATTTCCTCTATGACAAGACCAGCACACCTTCATCTAGATAAGGCTGATGACAGCTCTTGCGAACAAAATGATGATGTGCAAATTGTGAACAATGGCGGTCCTCCACTACCGTAAATGGTTTCACAGGTCACATGCACATTAAACTAACTGTAGCCAGAAAATGAAATGAAGCAGCACAGTGATGACTCACAGGGAAGTGTGAGTTCCAGCCTCGGCTCTCTGGCAGGCTCAGGGGTGAGTGCATGTTTCACGCCTTTGGCCATAACTGCATGGAATTACAGCCAGCATGGATGATATGGATTTTCATAGACAGAACTTTCATGCTTCTTCCCAGGAAAACAGCAAAACATCACTTGTTGACAATAGTTTGGCCTGCAGGTAGACATCTTGCCCTTTCTGATTCCTTGTGCTATTTAACATTAAGACAAAAAAACAAAAAACAAAAAAAACAGGCCAGGTGCTGTAGCTCAAGTCTATAGTCTCAACACTTTAGAAGGCCAAGGCAGGAGGATTGCTTGAGGCCAGGAGTTTGAGACCATCCTGAGCAACATATCGAGAGCCCATCTATACAAACAAATTAAACAACTATCCAGGTGTGGTGGCACACACCTGTAGTCCCAGCTACTCAGGAGGCTGGGGTGGGAGGATCACTTGAGCCTGGGAGGTCAAGGCTGCAGTGAACTATGATTGCGATTGCATCACTGCACTCTAGCTTGGGTGACAGAGTGAGACCCCAACTCTAAAACAAACAAACAAAATAAAACAAAAACCAAGGCCAGGCACGGTGGCTCACTCCTATAATCCCAGCACTTTGGGAAGCCAAGGCAGGCAGATCACCCGAGGTCAGGAGTTCGAGACTAGCTTGGCCAACATGGCTAGTCTCTACTAGAAACCCTGTCTCTACTAAAAATACAAAAAAAATAGGTGGATGTAATGGCGGGTGCCTGTAATCCCAGCTACTTGGGAGACTGAGGCACAAGAATCACTTGAACTTGGGAGGTGGAGGTTGCAGTGAGCCAAGATCATGCCATTGCACTCCAGCCTGGGCTACAGGAGCAATTCCATCTCAAAAAAAAAAAAAAAAAAAAGCCTTCAAAAATAACCAGATTGATTCCAGCAACCTATAAGGAGGGAGTGGCTTCCTCTTGCCTTCACTGGGAGATACGCAGAGATAGAATAATTGTCTTTATGACTCTGAAAATGCTTAAGACACCAACAACATGTAAACAGCTCCTATGAGAGCTTTTCCATTCATACAAGATCCCATTTCATCCTTGCAAGAACACTGGGCAATAGATAGTATCTTAAAATTCCCATTTTATAAATAAAAAATTCACAGCCAGCTGTGGCAGTTCAAAGGCAAGATGGAAGGACAGGACCTCTTGAAGCCAGGAGTTTGAGAACAGCCTGGGCAACAGAGCAAGGCTCTCTTTCTTTCTTTCTTTTTTTTTTTTTTTTTTTTTTTTTTTTTTTTTTTTTGAGACGGAGTCTATCTCTGTTGCAAGGCTGGAGTGCAGTGGTGGTGCGATCTCAGCTCACTGCAAACTCCGCCTCCTGGGTTCAAGTGATTCTCCTGCCCCAGTCTCTGGAGCAGCTGGGACTATAGGTACGCACCGCCACCATGCCCAGCTAATTTTTGTATTTTTAGTAGAGACGGGGCGTTCACCATGTTGGCCAGGATGATCTCGATCTCTTGACCTCATGATTCTCCCACCTCAGCCTCCCAAAGTGCTGGGGTTACGGGTGTGAGCTACCGTTTCTATTTTTTTTTTTTTTTTTTTTTTTTTTT